TTTTCCTGAGGCAAGCGTCCGAGTAACGGTGCGTAGTTCCGGCTGTGACAGTGGTCCTTTATTGACGATCTCTCGGTACCATTGTTAGATAAATCTCTCTTTGGTTGGTTTCATCCTGCTGGTACGGCAGCGTCACAACGGTCACCGCCATCTGTATTTGCAGACTGGGTCGGACACTTAATGAATATTGACACGTTGTTTTCTGTAGAAGTTCTCATCTCTCCTTCAAGAATGATATGCGAGAGAGCAAGGAATTCTGTGCTGAATGACTGAGACATCTTCCTCTGTGACCGGCTTTTCAGTAGCTCTCGGTGTGGTGAATCAGCAGTTAGAATTGCGTTATCCATCGTTTCAAACTGCTTCCGTTTTACTGACGATCCTTATGCACAGTATCAAAAATTCGAATATATGATTTAATTGGTCAGGACCGTGTTTTATAAACAAAGTCAGATATCTTTATTACTGTTATTATTAATTAACTGATTGATTGATTATTTGTTGTAGCTTCAGCAGAATACAATTGACAGACTATTGCGAGTATCTTATCAAGACAGCGATCAGGTATGCCATTACATCCACACCCCACCCCAGGGGGACAAATGGTTAACTCTTGTGAAGGCTCTATGTGACCCAGCTTTGACAGCGTAGAAGTGAGTGATAAAAAGTGAGAGCCGGCCGGAATGGAACGTCTAGATAGATAGATAGATAGTTTGCGAGGCCAGGGATCTGAGCACAGGGTCTTGGTAATAGCGAAGAAAAAGTAATGACCCAATACAATTTGTTTAGATCAGGGAGAAACATGAAAAACGTTTTATTTTCCAACTCAGCCGTTTATCTTTATCGCAGGGATACGACATTGAGGCTGTACTGGGTAAACATTTACCACCTATGAGCTGTTACGTCACAGAGATCACAGAACATGGAACATCATGCAGCTTCTGTCTGGAAGAGATTCAGTTACATTAGCAGCTTGTATCATGGAATATTGTTGTAAAATGATGTTCTGAATTTTTATTTAGAATTGATCTTTCAATTCTTCTTTATTTCTTTGGACCGGTATAGAACATATTTCAAAGAGCTTTTAATGAAAACCAATAAACAACCTTTGGCCTTCTGTTGCCAGAGCTTTGGTCAGTTTATTTTTCTCTCTACTATGAATGTTTAAAGGCCAATGGATGTTTACGTTTGTTTGTATATTTTTTCTTGCCATTGTAATCACCAGCTCTTATGACCTCAGAAAAGATTCACTAAGAATACCCCTGATCGCTTCATGCTTCTGAAACCAAGTTTGTTTGGGATCCCTGTAACCCGGATCTTTTTAACAACACTTGAAATGGTCAGTTTCTGCCTAACTGTGTGAATTCTCTTTTACCACGAATTAGCCAAGTTTCAGAGGTAAACACTCTTTCTAAGAAGTACGCTTAACAGTCGGAAGAAGGCAGATGTTTATAAAGAGCTGTGATATAACTATCTATAGTTTTACTGTGTCTACTTGCGTTTATAGTGAGTGTAGGGCGGAATTTAATTTGCATTCATTTGGGGGTAACAAGTAAGTTTTTTTACAGGATTCATTCGGTATCTTTTCTTGTTTGTTTTTTCTTTTCTGTTCAATTAAAACCTTCAGTTTAATTCTGTTTACTAGCTAGGACCTACAGAGTAACGGAACGGGTCAAAAGTATCCGACCCTGTAATATTTTGTCTGCGAACTAATGCGTCATATAACTTGGTTTCTCTGTCTCTATAATCTGGTTCAATATCTTCTAGTTCACTTGACTCGGATTCTTTGTATCTATTATAATAAACTCTTGTTTCTTTTCCTTTGCGCGGTAACCGCTGTGCAAGGTCACCTGATAATCCTTTGGGTATTCCTTTAGGCAAATGTGACGATAATTCGCTGAGTCTGGCATTTAATCTCTGGCGCGCACATGCTGGCCAAGATACCAATTCGGTTATTAATTTGTGGACGCGACGAATTACGTCTCGTATGATTCGATAAAGGATATAGCAAGATGTGGTGACGGTAACGGCGAACAACAAAAAATTCATGAGAAAACCAGATAGAAACGAGAGAAAAACCACGAAAATTCCAGCAAGGAACGGCATCATCGAGCAAAGCACGAGGAACAAGGGTGCCATAAGAAGAGCTGAAATCACAAGAAGTTGTAATAAAACAACAAGGGCAAACACTCCCAATAGAAAACATAGCAGAGGTTGCTTGTGAACAGAGGATATGAAGCTGTTGAGTTTGACAGCCGTTTTTTGAAGTCCTTCCACCGTTTCTTGGAAGCGGCGTCGAGCTTCATTCATCGCGTCAACCGCATAATTCATTGCGGTTACACTAAAACTAAAACGAAAAGAGAAAATCAAAGTTCCATTATTTCATCAAAACGAGTGTTAAATCTTGAACATCTTACCTTGATTTGCTTCTCTTTAAATTTCGTTATGCTTTTCCTGAACGGGCTTGAATATATCAAGATTTATTTCCTTTAAAAAAACTCTTTAGACTTGTTATTTTGACGTCATTGACAATTACCTTGACGTTATCATGTTAAATGGGGTCGTGGTCTGCGCGTGCGTTATATTATGTAGGTTGTTCACCACACAGCGCAGCACAAAGCACGGTTTTACCATAGTTTTTTAACAAAGCTTTCTTTTTCAGTACCGCCCACACGTAACCAAAGCCAGGAATCCAATGAGCATATGTACGAGGCTAGCGCCAGCGAAATTCGGTCAGCGGTCACGTTTTGCCAACGATGCCGATCGATGCCGATACTTTCAAGTCCTTTCAAGTAGTGTTCTCATCCGTACGTACAAGGACCTCGTACTGACTCTTTTGAAAATTAAGAGAGTCTTTGGTTGTTAACCAGCTGTATTGTTCGCCACTTTGCAATTATATTTTTGTGTTTAGTTTTGAAAACATTTTGTATACATCTATTTCGAGAAAGGTTGTGGGAAAAAGTGTACGCAACAATCACGAAACGTATTGTGGGTGGTTTTGAGTTCGCTGTTCTTCAAAGAAATTTGAAAGAATGGCAGAAGAGGCCATGGACGTATGTTTGTGCGTGCTAAAGGAAAGCAATAAAAGAAGTTTTGACAGCTACAGTATCAGGAATAGTGTATTGATCATATCCCACATTACCTTTCGGGATTGTCGCGTGCACATTTTTGCCGACAACCTTTCTCGAAATAGCTGTATCCTTTAGCAACAAAGTGTCATGACACAAAATGTTCAACACGTTGATATATGCAGTGTTTCTTAATGACTCTTTATTATAGTTTATGTAGGACATGGCTTTGAAAGCAGCTCTTTCGACATAGTTTGGAGAACTTTACACATGCTCTTATTTCACTAAAACAAAGGTCAAGAATTAGTTCGTAAAAATTTAAAAAACAGTAAAACTCGACATGTAAGTATTTAAGGAAACTTCGGGAAAATGAAAATGGTAAGAACTATACCTCTGATTTAGTAGAATACTTTGGCTTGGTCTTTTTCTGCCATGTTATATTTTTTGCGCATTTTTTTCAGTTTTAAAGAGAAAAATGTAGTTCCATTGATTCCCTTTTAGTTGAGTGTGACATTCTATGACAACATTTTAGAACTCGTTGGCAGTTTTTCTCTGGCTTACATATGCTGTTGGTTTGCGACACATATGTATGTAGCATTAAAAAAACTGATACAGTACTCACATTTTATTCAATTGCTCTTTTTTCTTGGCAAAAAATTCAATGAATTTTCATCATGAATAAATCGGAGAGTGATAAGGAATGAGCCATATTGAGACTCTATTGACTACCATTGACTTAAAAACAACAATCTTGATTTGTTGCCTTATTCAGTTTATTCGCGGAAACGCTCGGGTGTCGCCGTTCGGTAAATGGTTAGGAGTGGACTGTGAAAATGATGTTGACTGCGAGAAGAAATGTCTGGAGAGTAACTATGAGTGCAATGTTATTGACGATCCATTGACCATGGGCCAAAGTGGACCCAAAACTGAATAAATAAAGTTTTAAAACGCATGTCGGTTTGTTTAATTAAAAAAAATTATAAGTGCGTGAAAGATATAAAGACTTGGGAAAGATCTCAAGAGTTAGCCTGAAATTCATCCGATTGCTTCGAGTCGTTTTCCTCCTCTCAACAACTGAGGGAGTAATAACGACTCGAAGTAATCGGATGAAATTCAGGCTACTCAAGAGTATGACTTAAAAAAAAAACTAAGATGGTAAAAACAAGATGTAAGCAAACGAATTTTACTGTGGCTCCTACTGGAAGTCAGTTACAGGTAGCTGATGAGGTAATATTTCATATAAAATATCAAAAAGTTTCAAATGTTTGTGTGTGTGTTGTTGTTTTTTTTTAAAACCAGGCGTTTCGTGGGTATGACCCTTCTTCCTTAGTCTGAAATGCAAGTCTCGGGTGGAGACGGCTGATACGCGTATCTCTGGACTATTTTAAAGCGGGAAAATAAGAAATATAAATTTTTGAGTTCTTTGGAAGTTTTTCCCCTTTACTGGCTCCTGAGATCTTACTTTAGGACTCTTCCTTTTTCTTATTTATGTTAATGACTTGCCCAATCAGAATGTAATACCGTAAATGACTTAATAAACGCCCCCTCTACGCTGTGAAAATTGAGAATTACTCCAAAATACTGGGAATTAGAAAAAAGAAGCAAAATCATTCAATTCATTCAGTCTCTTGCTTGATTAAGAGACTTTGCGTATTTCAACTCTTGATCAATGTCAAGTTCAAAGTAACACAATAACCCTGAGCGAGGATTCTGACATCGATGTTGGTATTTAAAAGAGCGATGTGGATCTCTAGAGTGGTGTGGATATTCCGCTATTTTTAAACTCTCTTCATATTTTTGCCGAGCTGGCATATTAGTTCTGTAACTGTAGTTCGCCTGCGTGGGAGGCTGGGAATAGCTAGGCCCAGACCTCTCTCGTTGCCAAATGAATGCCTGGTAATTTTTTGCTGAAAGTTTCTCAGTTTTATCATTGGTATGATGAACTCCGAAAGGATTTTATGCGTTGGTCTTGCTGCTCTTGATATTGTTAGCATTTGTGAAAGCTACCCCGAAGAGGACAAGGATGTTACAGCCATTTCTCAGCATCAACAGACTGGAGGGAATGCTTGCAACACTGCTAAAGTATTGCGTGACCTCGGAGTGCAGTGTGAATTTCTAGGTTCCATGTCGAGTGAATTTCAGTCGGATTTCATTCGTAAGGAAATGAGTGATCGTGGGATACTTTATGAAAACTGTGCGTACCACTCAGACTGTGGGACTCCGACTTCTTGTGTGGTGCTGAGTCTTAAAACAGGCAGTAGAACAATAGTACACGCACGAAATAACCTCCCGGAACTTGACATTAAAGACTTTGAAAAGTTGGACCTTAAAAACTATAAATGGGTTCATTTTGAAGGCAGAAGAAATGAGCTTAAGATTCTAAAAATGATCGACATTGTAGATGAATTCAATATAACTCAGCCTGATGATAAGAAAATCAAAGTTTCTGTGGAGTTGGAAAGACCAAGAGAAACTCTTTGGCCGTTACTAAGCAGGGGAGACGTCGTGTTTATTAGCAAAGACTTCGCACGCTTTCGTGGCTTTTCATCGCCCGTAGAAACTATCAAATCCCTTAACCGTTATGCCAAGCCAACTGCAGTGATGCTTTGTGCTTGGGGTGAGGAGGGTGCGGATGGTATCAGCCCTGAGGGTGATGTAATACATAGTGATGCCTACCACCCTGAGAAAGTGATTGACACACTTGGAGCTGGAGACACTTTCAATGCTGGTGTTATTTACAGTCTTTATAAGGGTTCAACTCTACAAGATACAGTGAATTTTGCTTGTTTATTAGCTGGCATCAAATGCGGCATGTATGGATACAGTGGTTTAACCAAGGCTCTACATGATCTTCAGTATTGCAGCAGTGAGAGGTAATCACACAACTCAGAACATAGATGTGCAGCCCAATATGATCTGGATTTATTATCTAACTCATATTAGCAGTAGATGCATTTTTAACCTTGGGAGACTGCACAGTCTATTATTAAAGTAATAAATCAATAATATTATTATCTAACAAGTAGACAAGTAGCAATTCACATGCTTTCAACTGTAACTCCTTCCATCTATGATAGCTGTTGTATTTTTCATGAGCTTACTCTAGCTAATTAAGTTACTCTCGTTCTGCTTATTTACACAGAATAACATCTTCAGCACACTACTTCTTTTATTTACAATCTATCATTACACAACAACAATATTTAGGTTGTCAATAACACTCTCTAATAATACTCTTTTTAATAATTTGGCCATATTGATAACTTCTAATGTTGAGCTTGTTAGGCAGATTCATGTTGTCTGGCTTCAGAAATGAAATCCACCCACTGGTATTGCCTGTGGAGTGCCAAACTTAAAGCCTTCATTTGTGGCCACTGGAGCTACTGCCTCTGCTTCTTCAGTACTCTAAATAAAGTAATCAATTCAGTAATTTCAGAATTGACTTGTACATGTTGACAATGTACAAATTACCCAGCAACGAGGAGTGGTGGGTTTTTTTTATTAAGACTATGATTGCTGAAAAAAGTCCATTGATTGTAACAGACCTATAGAGAAACCAGCCTTAAAACTAAAGACAGAATATATCATTGTTGCAATGACTGCTGGTATTGTGAAGTGATGTTTCCATCATTAGTAGCAGTCAATATAGCGATTAAACACATTTTTAAGTGATCGTTGTGACAATTTAGAAACCAGCCTCAGCTGTTTCTAAATTGTATCATGGATGAATTTTGCGTGTATAAATTTTAAGCACATTTTTTTCGTGTTGAACACAGTTTCAGCCTATACCGTCAGGGGAACCTCATCTAGCGAACCTCCATATAACAAAGTCCTTGGTATAATGAACGATTTTCTTTCATCCAGTAACAGTAAAACAAAATGAAAAAGAACCTTGATATGACAAAACCTCTGCACTATAGCCAACACATTTTTCTAGTCCCTTGGGCCTTCTTTATACGAAAGTTCTACTGTAACTTTTTTTTTTGGCTTGGGTGCTTAGGCTTGATTAATAAGGGGTGAAGTTTCAGGGAAAATAATAATTATGGGAATTTCATTCCATAGGGCAAAGGAGGAGAACTAGTATGGAGTATGAGTGATAAAAATGGAGGAGAATGAAGTGAGAGACTGCAAGGCAAGTTTCAAGTTATATAGGCATTATTTCTTGCCACTGGTTTTTTTCATATGAATCTACAGACTGATTCAAGTGGACCTGAACTTTCGCTGCAGTTTGCCATGAACTTACCTCCTCAGAGAAATATTTGTCAATTATTGCCAAAGCTGATTTATACACCTCAAAGTTCTGGTGGGTCTGTAAACCTTCAATGTTTTGTATACCTGAGCAATAATAATACAGGCAACTGTGTTTAGTAAGCCTCACGTTTTTGTTGTTGTGGATTTCCTACTGTCAGTCTAATCTTGTTACTCCTTGGAACTTCTTAACCAAGTGAAGGACAATCCCCTCAATCTCAGCACTCCCAAGAAACCTGCTTACAAAGACACGGTTTAACTACACTGTGAACGTCAAAACATCTAAGCTTCTGCATGCACATACACTATTCTGCATAAAAATGTTTATGAAATAATATTTTACCTTCATGCTCTTCCATTTGCTTACAAACCTCTTCCATGAGGCGATCATTGGAGGAGGAAGTCTACCAATCAAAGCAGATTAACTGCAGTGAGTGTAAGGGTTTTTACACAGTCAGTCCATAATAAAATATCAACCATAAGAAGGCAACTTACCTGGAGAATATGATTAAATCCATCCAAAAGAACAAGAATAGTCTAAAAAAACAACAACAAGATAGTCAGTGAATTCAGTTAGTGGAGGGTTATTTTGTATGTGTAATTATATTGTACAAACAGGAAAAAGTATTTTTAAAAAGCATACAGTAAACAAGAAAGAATATTTTAACAGAGGCATAGGGTTTATCAGTAGCATCTACAAAGTCTGATTTTCACTGTCTCACATCATCCCATATTTGGCTGATATCATCGGTAAATTTTTGATCACTTTATGGCATAAAGGCTCAAAAAGTGATAGTGTGCTAGCCCTTCATCAGAGTGAATGGTACTTTAGATGGAGGCCAGGCTGACACTGATCATCATGGAATAAGCTTTTGAGTTTCTCCACAAAAGATAAATCACTTAAAATGTTTAACTCAGTTTCATTCTAGCAAAACCTTAACATACATGTAAATTAATCTGTCAACAATAACTGAGTATTTAAAAATGGAGGGCAATCAGATGGTTCTTAAGCTGACCTTAGCATCCTTGACATCCAAGAGTTTGCACATTGGTTCAATGACACCATTCTGCACAAGAAAAGTGATCTAACGGAAAGATACAAAAAAAGTGAAGGTCAACACTCAGCTTGTACAATGCAAAACTATTTTAACACATCATAATAAAAGTGAGAGGCTTTAATTTTTTAAAACCCTAAGAAGCGGTTGCCTTATTCAACCTTTTTTTAATTTTCTCCAATTTTGTCCATTCCTGATGGTGTTCTCTACAATTTTGCTCTGTATTTTCACTAAATTTCATGACCAGTGAACCTAATGTTTGAAATTCCACTTTTGGCCAAATTCTGGAACAAATTATTGTAACTAATACATTCAAGTGTTTTGTTAAAAGCAAGTGACTTAATAACTGAAATGTACCTGATCTGGAGTGCTGCCTGATGTGAAATTTGTGATGGCCCACACTGCTTCCTTTTGGCTCTTAAAGTCTGCCCGTACTGATTCACAACCCTAAGAGTAATAACAATTTACATGATTGTATTAAAATGACTGGGCAACAACACTTTCTGAACACATTAACAAAAAGACACCTTCCAGTTGTAAGGCACTGACAGCTTCTCATTACAGCTGGCTCCATAAACCCACTAAAGAGTTTGTATCATGCTTACACACCTTCAACACAGCTATAATCAGCGGTACCAAGCCTGCATTGATGACAGCCTGTGCGGAATAAACACAAAAGGAAAACAAACTGAAACATACACACAAAGTTCTTAATCTCTTTATAGTGTCAAGAACAAAAAAAGAACATTTTACATCCAATTGTTATTCTAAACATTTGGGGGTACTGTGACACCCCTAAGTAAGCAATATGTAATGCATTGTCGTGATGCTACTTATTCGCATAATATAACTTTAATCATATTTCATAAAATCATTGCATGGAAAGGAAACTACTAGACTTAACACAATACCAATTGTTTGTGATGTTGCAATATTGCTGGCTTCAAATATACAGCTATTTCGATCAAGGTTGTCGGAAAAAGTGCACATGACAATCCCGAAAGGTATTGTGGGTGGCTTTGAGGGCACCGTTGTTCAAAGAAATTTGAAAGAATGGTACAGGAGGCCACAGACATATGTTTACGAGTACTAAAGAAAAGCAACAAAAGTAGGTTCGACAGCTTCAGTCGTTACGAACAGTGTATTGATCATATCCCATATTACCCTTCAGGATTGTCGCGTGCCCATTTCTTGAAACAACCTTTCTCGAAACAGCTGGATAAATGTACACTCTGTATACCATTCACTCTGTATGGCTTAAAGGAATAATTATCCTTGTGTGTGTTGTGCCACAGGTGCTCTCTCAATTATACTTTTTAACTTATCATTTGGTCAGAGTAACATTATATTAATTTTAATTACCGGTAGTATTTTTACATGCAAGGAATAGTTTATACTTTACTCAGAAACTGTACCTGAATTTGCTCTTTGGGGCCTGCTGTAATATTTGATATTGCCCATGTTGCCTCCTGTTAACAAATCAGGGGTAAGACAGTACTGTGAGATAGAAATTAATAAGCCAGCATGCAAAGAAAGTAGTGTCTGCTAGCCAGTGACTCATGGATATTGCTATTGGGCTAGTGAAGTTTTAGGGGGGCATTTAAATAACAGAAGAACCTTAATCAATCCTGCTCATCAAATTTATTTTCAACTTTTAGGCTAGTACATGCTAGCTACAGCCTGCCCAAATGGCAAGCTGTAAAATTGTCTTTCTTTACATCCTGTAAGGTAAAGCTGATTGAAAATAAACTGAAAGTACAGTATTAAGTCTTCTGTACATATAACTGACCTTGACAATGCTGGGTTTATGGTGTTTTAAAAGATCCTTGAAATATGACAAAGCATTGCACTGTATCACCATCTAAAACAAAACAAATAAAAGGACATTAAGAATGGAATAGTAATGTATTTCACTTTAATTTTTGGGATTGTTTCATGGTGTTGCAGAAACTATTGCTGGTTCACTTTTGAGTTGTGGTGTGGCTATTGCTTTGTGTCTTTTCAGTCTTTTGGTGATTACATGCATCTACAACACAAAGAAACTACCAAGAAATTTTTGTGTTATTAAACTAATAACCAAGCAGATAATTTACCATTTCTGAAAGCTCTCCTTGTCCAAGACATTTCCTGCTCACATCTTACTATAGCATCAACTTATGTAGCTGCTAAGCTGGTAATTCAGATTTAACTGGATCAAATATTATTTAGTAATATACCAATATCGGAATACCATAAGCAACATTGATAAACATTTGACTTATTCTCCATGCATGGTAGAAGGTTCAGTCCAGTGTTCCTTTCCTTGTACCTTTTTTTTAATCAAATATTAAGTGAACTTAATGTACAAATTTCCGACAGGTTTTAATGGAAAATGTCCTGCTTACTTGTGTCTGTTCATCAGTCCCTGTGACAATGTTTCCAACAGCTCTCAATGTAGGTGTCTAAACAAGAAATAAAAGTTTGACACAGTGGAAGGCCACGTTACTGTACTCTTGAATTTGAATTTTAAAATGCAGCAAGTCTTTCTGTTTCTACCTTTGTAGTTTGTACTCAATGCAATAATATAAATTTATACACGGTCAACCTTTTGGTTGACATGCTAATGACAAAATAAGTGATCTCACAACAGATGGAAAAAGTCCTTACCACGACGTTAACTTCTGGGTGGCCCAGTAAATTCACCAATGATGGAAGGATTCCTGAATCAATGACAAGCTGAAGCAAGAACAGGTTTTCTTGAATAACTCATTTATATATGGCAATTTAGATATACAACCTTGACTACCCCCTAAGAATAATGTTTTTGTGACTAAATTTTATCAAAGGAAATTTACCATCAATAGTTTTATTTATAGATGTGATCTCCTGGGTACATTCCAGCAATACACAAAATGCAAAATTTTTAGGTTTTTGGCTGAACAGGTGACACTTCAGGATTAACTGATTAGCATGCATTCATTTTTGGTTTTCTTTCCTCCCTTTTAATTTACTATCCTGTACATTTTTTCTTACTTAAAAGAAGGGTTAATTTTCGTAGGAAACCTTTTGCAAAAATGCAAGAGAGATGCTAAACAATAGTTGTGGTGTATGGCCCATGTAGACCTCTACCTGGACATGTAATCTCACCTTTTTTCTACAACTGGAACTGATACATTTATAACATCACACATGGTTGGTTCCATACTGGTGTTTTGAGGCATTTCAAGTGTGAATGGGTACACAGTATGTATGTGTTTATTATGCTAACCTGTATTCTATCATTTGTTCCATCAGTCAAATATGATAAGCCCCAACATGTATCTGAGAGCACCTGAAAAACAATTGTTTGTTTAGAGAAAGCATAATTTATAGTGCTTTCAATGAAACTAACAAAATGGAAATGACTGGAAGAATTGTGTTGCCAAAAAACTACATGTACTAAATAGTAATCTACCTCTTTATCTTGATTATGGATCAATAAATATGTCAGAATTGGAAGGATCTGAAATCAAAAACAAAATAAAAAGTAAATTAAATTAAAATACAAGAAGGCAAATCAAATCCTCTCTATGACCATGCATGCAATAAGTGACAATGTTATTTATAGTCAGGGTAATATACAAGTATCACTTACTTCTATGACAGTTTCCTTGTCAGGGGGTGGATTCTTATTGCGACATAGGTTAGAAAGAGTCCAGGTCACATTGCGAAGGAAATTCACCTGTAGAAATTATCCAAGGAAACAAAATATTGTTACCCAACCAGCTGTCAACCCTCACTTAGTTGTAACATTTCTTGTGGGAACTTATTTGATTATAAGCTATTTAATTCACTTGCAACTGGTATTTTTTCTTTCGGTGGAAGGGGAGGGGTTATGGAGGCTACATGAACTAGAGAAAAAAGTGGTTAGGAAGGTTGATCTTCTCAGATCAACAGTTTTTTCTTTTCTTTTCTTTATAGTTGTTCCCAAAAAATTAATGTTCCATGATAAGTCTTTTGTAGTATTTTTATGTATTCCCCATCCACGCCTTTGGATCATAGCTCTCGCGAATGCACATTAAAGATCGAGGGAGTAGGGATAGCTGAAGCCTCTGGCATGAATATTACTTACATTATTCATGCTGTTATGGGCCAGTGCAAGTAATGGTTTCAAAGCACCAGAAGCTATAACAAAGTTTCTCAGTAGTGGACCATCACCTGCATACACAAACACATCAAATAATGCAAGGGTCAGACATAAATAGAACATTAACAAGAATATTAACATGCTTGAAAGTTTTGCAACATTTAACAACTTAGATACCTGCAATGTTTCCTAGGGCCCAGACTGCCTGCTCTTGAACTTGAACATGGCTGGATGATAGCAGATTCACAAATCTTGGAACAGCACCTAAAAGATATAAATGGAGAGTTATTAATCACAAAAACAAACTTAGAAAAAGTACATATATTAAAAAACATTGACACATATAAACATCTGTGTGGCAGGATGACCGTTACTGAAGTACTACTTTTTTTCAGTTGAAACAGGAAATGTTTTAAACAGAGAAGTGCTCTACATTGTGGACAGAGTTCTCTCAAAAGCTATAAGCTATATGTTATGTATTTTTAATAGTAAAAACTCAAAATTACTACTATAAAAAATAGTGGGTTATAGATAGAATCCTTATAGAAGAGGTGAATAAATGTTTATTCATCAAATTTTATTTTAATTTTAAATGAAGCAAGCTTAACTTAAATGAAGTCTTTGTCTACAAAATCCAGTTCCAGTGGTCCTATAACGTTATTGTTTTAAAAATTACTTCAACTTGCAAGTAGATGGACGCCCCCCTCCCTAAAGAAAAAATCAGGTAGAGAGACATGTGTGAATCGTCATCCTTAATTGTGTCGTGGTATACATTTGCATAAATGTTTTTATTTTGTTTTACCTGACAGTTGAAAAGGTGTTGAAAGACCAACACGACTCAGGACTATTTTACATCACCATACGCAGTTATTCTCTTGGGTGAGGGCTTTAACTAGAATATCTAGCTAAAATGTCATTTATAATGAGTATATTATGCTTTGGAACAATCTAACACGTACATATTATTCCATCTTTTTTTAGCTCATAAAGTCGGTCGGTTTCCTGTGCATCATTTCCCATTGTTTTTGGTTTGATCTCGAAAGCACTGTTTACATAATTTCCACTCAAGCGTTTTATGCAGGAGTTTATCCGTTCGATGATTTTGAGTAGGTTTCACATAAAGGATTGTTCACTTCTCTTCAGCAAGAAATTATGGCTCTACTTTTGTCTAATTTTACAAGTCATGAGCGGCACTTGTAGGCCAAAAAATAGTACACAGGCTTAGCCAAAAAAAATCAACGCAATGTTCACGCTGAAATCCAAATATAAGATCTTTGATAATTAAGCATTGAATTCTGTAGGTCCTTCTCTTTTATTTACAATAGCCACTGGCAGAGAAAAGACACACCCGCAACCGGTGCACAAACATTGGTGGTCTCACTTCACATGCCTACTCCAGAGAGCCAAAATACAAATAAACATATATAAAATAATGTGTTAAGCTGTCCTCAAAGGCTGAGATTTTCCCCAGGAAATCTATTCTAAGATTCATTCACCAATTACAACACTGGAAATTACTTGCGCAATGACATTGACATTACAACCAATCAGAGGCTTTCCCCCACAATTCAGGGAAACGGGAACTTGATTAAGGATGGCGATTCACAGATGTCTCCCTCCCCGATTTTCTCTGAGGGGAGGGGGCGTCTAAGATGGACACCATAGGGACTGGCAGCACTATTATGTAACTGTCTGTCTCAGAATGATATCCCTGAGAGACAATATTAAAGAGGGAAAAGAAAGGCTGCAGGGACCAACTCTAGCTGACTATTTAGAGAGAGTTGACTGTAACAATTGGTCAATACTGAGTTAATTAATAATCATCACCTGCATCTACAACAACTTTTGTTTCATCTGATGAACCTGAGGCAATATTTGTCAGTACCCACGCAGCTTCAAACTGTATGGAAGGACTATTGATTGAAAATTAATGTGAGAATAATGAGCTGTGAGTATGTATTGTGACTAACATGAAAATCAGCAACAAATAGGAACAGACGAAATTGCTGGCTACAAGGCAAAAACCTGCCATGAACTCACTTGTCAGATCGATCTAACTTGTTTACAAAGTTTGGTACCAGTCCAGAGCTGAAAAGTACATTTGAAATATTTTTAAGTTAGCTGGAAAATCTAACAATTAACTTTGTAAAACTGAATAAATGGGGAAGTAATAAAATATTAATAGACTATCTACTGTATTTAACATATGAATTGAAAAATAGCTGAGTGGACAAACATACTTAATAAATTCTTTTATTGGAGGGTTTTTGTGCTTTGATAACATCTTCCTATAACAAGAGAGAATGTAAAATTGCATATTATCATGATGAAGAATAATCAACAGTCAATTTAATTTTTTTATACAAGTTTCAGGTTATCATAGAGCTGCAAATAACATTCCTTCTTTGGACAATGTCTGACTAAATTATGCCTAATGTCATTTAACACAATCCTAATGGCACTATGGTGACAACAAGACAGATATCATAGTGGCATGAAAGATTATCACTCTGAAGTTGATAGTCTCCACTCCAGAAAATACTGTATACTGGGAACGGGTACAGGCTTTCAGTGCAACAATTTATAGGATCATTTAAGCTAGGCTAGCTATGATTTACAGTGGATACTTTCATTGGAAGCAAAAGGAAAATGGAACAAAAAGATTTTCTATCTGTTCATTTCCGAGCCCACTCATTGCATAATATATATACCTGGCGACATGAAATCTTAGTGACAGCTCTCAGTAAAAGTCTTTCCTTGCTTATAATAGATACCGTAAATCCTGTTTTAAGCCCTCCTCTCTAATAACCCCCCCTTCCCTTTTCAAGGAAGAAAGTTAATAACCCCCCTTCTCTTTTAAGCTCCCCCTCCCCTCCCCCTTAAATAAGCCCCCCAGGGGGCTTAAGAGAGGATTTACAGTATAAGAAATCACCTTGAAATCTGTACAGCTTGAAATATCAGCTTGTCATCATTTGATTTGAGATACTGCAAGGAAATTATTACGAGGAAATTAACATAAAGTAATTAAATCTGCGGTCCAATATTCGACAAAAAAACAAGTCAGGTTCGAGAAACTGATACTGAATAACATTGTACATACCTCTTGGATTGTAGGCAGTGGTAATTGAGTCACAGTCTGGTGAGAAATCAAGTTTTTTCATTATGCAATCATCAGAAAAAAAACAATGTTCAACAAGTGTTAGGTTGAAATGGTTACACAAGTACCTGTTGCTGAGAATTGATTTCCTTCAGTGGACTAGATTCCTCAACAGTGATGTTACGTCTTTTTAGAACCTGATCGTCTCTTTTACTCTAATTAGACAGTGAAAAAGTGTTGACAAAAAGAGTATAAAAATTAGCCTAAATTAAACTACAACAGTTATACAGTGGTAACTTACTTTGCAGGCACCTTTGAATTACAGACAGTTTTCTCTGTCCATAAGGAGAAGCCTGTGAAATCCAGGGTGCCCAGCACAGGATTTCTATGAAAAATCTAAGGTTTCTTTATAGACTCCCAAGAGGAAAGTGAGGTGCCAGGGGGCACTGGGTGCTGCTAGAACACAGCCCTGCTATTAGAATTACGTACCCTTCGGAGCTCAATTGAAACGTCAGTTCGTCTTCGTCGTAACTCCTGCAAAAGTGAGAAAAAAAAGATGCTTTAGAACTTTCCTAGTCATGTTGACCCCTTGGATTAAATTTTAAAATTCACACACTGGTCCGTCAAAAAGGTAAATTGTGTAACTGATCTTGGAAAAATCAAAGGGGTGTTAAATTTTGTCTCTTTTAGAGTCAATGATTTTATTGATTAGCCAGGTGTCAACCTTTGACAGTTTCAGGTGATCAATAGGTTGTAGTCAAGAGCGGGGGGGATACTTCCTCCAAATTCCTATTTGGCAAGTCTGCTTCTGGAGCAGTAAGGTTTTTGGACTCTCTGTCCTGAACATGACAGGGCATCTTATTATTTTATGTGTGAACTTTCCCTATCCAGGGTCTCAACATTTCTCCAATCCCTACTCCTCAAACAGCTGGGTTTGGGAAGCTCACTTGTAAAGGAAAAGTTTTCAAGAAAAATACCACTGACAATGTCAATGACTGGAGATACGTGTTGGGGAAACGATACGCGATACGGATGCGGTTCTCTCAGAGGGAAGTGCTGCGAGAGACCTCAATAATAGAAAGCAATCTTTCCCCCTTTTTCTACAATAAATGTTTTCCCTTGTACGAATACAAGATCACAGAGAGAGTACAGAGTGAATCTAAATTCACCCTCGACAGACTCGACACTGTCAGACGAACTGAAACGAACAGCATGCGCGTATAATTTATAAGCTTCAAAAGATGATACACATCCATCCACTTAAAAATTAAATTTCTGTCAAGTGAATAAGCGTAAATGAAACCATTTTTGTTTGTAAAATATCCTCTGGAACAACGATTTATCTTGCTGAGAACGTATCTATGTCATCGGAATCTTTTACTTAGTTTTTGTACGGTCTTCGATCGCACCTAATATCAAAGAAAATTACTTTAGTAACAACAAAGTATGCAAACTTACGGAGCTATCTTTTCCCTTATTCTTGAAATGTCGTAAACGATTTTCTGCCATGATTTCCAGCTAATTTGTTGGGTATAATAAGGTTCAATCGCACAGAGAGTGACAGTCCTTCCTGAAGTTCACCGAGGTTCGAAATGCTGAAGGTATTTTGTACTTTTGAAATTTGTACTTTACCGAATTCTCGGCTTCTGATTGGCTAAAATTCACACTGTCCAATCAAATTGAAATGCCCTCAACGTATCTCGGTTATGATTGGTTTGTTGTAATTCACTTCTACCTCATGTAAGAATACATATAATAAACCAATCGCTAACCTTAATATTCTTGGCACCAGTCTTTTATTCAAAAAAGGCCAAAATATTCACTTCCCCTAAACAGTCATTCAATAGTCAGTTTATTATCAACGTTGAGGGTAACCTGCGATCAGGCGTTTTTTTGAGAGAGAGAGACATAAGGGGATAATAGGGAGAGGGCATGATCTCAGGCTACGCTGAGGGTCACTGAGGCGAATAATATATATTTTTTGTTCTCCACCTGGTTTATTTAATTCACCTGTGATTTGGCGATTTTTTTTTCTTTTTTCAATGGGATATTAGGGAGAGGGCATGATCGCAGGCTATGCCAATATACACACCCTGTTCAAGGTTTCTGCTCTGCAATTTTCATGAATATAATAATTTCTTTTAAGCATAATAATAATATTGGTTAGTAAGGATGGTGTTGTAAAGTTTGTTATTCCTGCACGGGTGTTCCATAATTTAAAGCACATGGAACAAATCAGCAGGTGAGCCAGAAGAAAGTACGTAAAAGTAGCCCCCTATTATTTTCATAAATGCCTATGAAAAATCACACTTCATCAGTGATATCTGTTGAAAGCTCAAGCTTGGTAATTTTCATAAGGAGAGAAGGATAAAGAGTTGATAAGAGTCCCAAGCACTGACATGCTAGAGGACTTGTAGTGAACAACTGAGGTCGGTTATAGTACTTCATGTGTATTTGCAAAAAAGGTGTCATCGGCCTCCTATTGATAATTCATACAAGGTTAAAATGATTTTGATTAAAAAGTTAAATTTAAATTTTAAAAGTAAAACAAATTTTGAGTGTAAACAGTTTTTTATTTAAATTTAAATGAATTTTGGTCTCAAAGTTAAAATAATAATTTCCAAACCAAATTCAAATCAACTGAAGTATACAGGGATGGACACCACAATTCACAAAGGCAAGTCATAATTTTATTACTTTTATTGACAATATATTAAGTGACAGTTTTTTATTAGTAGAGCTGAAACATTAAAATCAGAAAATGTACAATAATTTCAACCAATGAGCCAGCTACACTGGTATAATTCTCACAGCCCAAAACAAAATAAACCTTCACTACCTATAATATAACATAGTTATTCTATACAAATAAATAATATACACTGTTTCAAAGTTTCTGCTGCTTCTTTAAATAAACCTCTCTATGTCTATGAATTATTGTGTATTTGCCCTGTTAAAGTTAACAGACTGTCAAGTGATATATCCACTCAGTGAGACTAACATGAAATATATGATTTGGGTTGTAAAACCTGCAAAAATGCACTCTGGATAGAATGCAAACATATAGATATTTTCCCATTTATATGGACCACTACAGGAAGCCAAAAAGACTTAAACTGTAACGAATAACAACTCTAATTAGTTCAAAAGTGTGGTTGTTTGCTGTTTTTTACTTCTCTTTTTGTAAACTAGCCTGCAAGCAAAGGTTTAGCAGACACAGTATTGTAACCATAAAAACCAGCAGCCTTAATGCAATGTTAAGGCTTTTTTAAAATCCCACAGACAATGCTAATATCAAAATCTATTTTACAAAGCATTTGTTTACTTGGGCAAAAAGGTCCAAGTTGATGTGTACAAGAGCAATGGCAACTACTCAACTGATGATAGCAAATACATTTAGCCTGAAAAATACAAAAAACAAAGACAATTCAATAGGAACCTAAGCAAGCAGTTTAACCAGAAGTGGAGATGAAACTGACTGAGGTCTTATAAACAGATAAATGATTTTCAAGAAGAAATTAAATTGTAATAATAAAATAACTATTAAAATAATGCTTCATGCAAGGTAACTAAGTTTTTAGAATTTAAAAGAAAATAGGGTGGAAAAGGGCATACCAGTAAGTCGTATTACTCTTTTCTTTCTCATTAGCTAACAACTATAGCTGATAGAGTTTTGTAAGTTTACATGTGAGTTCACAGGGAATGGTAGGTCAGAGTTTTGAAGGAAATATTGAAGGTTTGCAGGACCTTACTGAGGGGTTATAGGAGAAGAAGACATTAAAAAATCAGTGGCAGTATGGATGTTTAAAGCGTTTTAAAAATTTAGCTGGGTTACTAATGAAAGAACAACTTGTTAAATGTTTGAGTCAATACAAAGATTGTTTGCACTGAGATTCAGTATACTGACTCAAGTTCACTGACACTGACCTGATTACATTACTGGTATTTGTGTGGGTACAAGTCCCTAAGAGCTCTCTTGGCTTCTTCTACACCTTTATCAGCCGCCATTTTAAGAAGTGGTTCAACTTCACTGAAGTTTTATAAAAAGATATTAATAATGTTTCAACATTATACAATAACCACCGAAATAACTGGAATAAATCAAATACAATCAGAACTTGCGTAGCATGAACAAAATTTTACCTTACAAATTAATAAATAAGTCCGTGAGGGTAATTTTATTGTAAGAAGTTTTCACTAATGGATACATTATTTATAGCAGTTCTGATTACAGTCAAGGACCTGACAGAGAAGATGAAAAAGGTAACCAGGGGACTGCAAATGTCAGCCAATGTTTTTATTATTTTATAGTCTACTTGACATGCTACCAATAAAATGCAACAAACACATTCTACAGATAATTCAAAGGATGCATGTAATCATTTGTCAAATCCTCCAATTCAAAGGAAATAAATTTTACACCAGCATATCTAGCTGGCTTTCCCAAGTCACTGCTTCATTTTTTTAACAAAAAAGAATCTTACTGTTCTTCGACATCCGTGTTATAACCCTGTAAATGTCCAGCAACAAGATTATATGCCCCATGTCCATGGCCATTTTTGGTTGCCTCCCTGAAATTAAATACATAACTCTTATAAAACCATAAGTACTGAGATCTCAAGAATAACATAAATGCTTTAGTTGACTAGCATAACCTAGACAGGATTTTTCATCAGATATAACATTTTGGTTTTACACATTGTGGTTCAATTAATTCATTCCCGGTTCAATTTTGTTTTCCTGTGTTTTACACTCATTTTATAAACATAGCAATAACCAAAAACAAAGGAAAATACAATTCGAGCAAAGAATAACATTAAACTACAACACACACAAGAAAAAAACTCATCTAACCTGAACCAATAAAATGCCATTTTTTCATCTTTTGCAACTCCGTGTCCTGAAATGAGGCCACCAAGAAATAAATATTTTTTTCTCTTCACCTTCTTAATATACAATATGGGTATGTTGACCTTTCGGGAAATCCAAAAATAGATTTTTGATCCTAGATTTGCCCGATTTCACACTGAAATCCAAAATTAGATCTGTAACGTTGGTAAACATTTGCAAAAGCGCTCAATGTGACAGCCTGCTCTTAAGAAATGATGTGTTTTCCACTGTTTGACAAATATTATACCATGCAAAATTTTGTAGTCAGCAACTCAAATACCAGCGATGTAGAGGAACATAAAGAGATCAAGAAAGAAGCAAGTTAAAGTTGAAAATTATGTAAAGGTTCAATTTAAATGTTCTCAAAACATAGCCAGTCTTAACGTCTTAATGATGCTGACAGTTTCGATAACTGTCAGCCATCTTTATCAAAACTTGGAAAACATTAGAAGTGTCAGAAGCCTTCAATAGGCTTCTGAAGGTGTTAATTATTACGATAAATGCGCAAAGTCACTCTGCAGATGCCCCCTCCCCCCCTGGTTTGGGGGTGGAGATTACTTGTGTCCGTATGGGAGAAAGCTGATAGGCTCCCTCGTCCCTGTTCATAGTAGGAGTGTTCGATCTAATACATAAACTGTCAGCATCATTAAGACATTAAGACTGGCTATGTTTTGAGAACATTTAAATCGATATTAACTTCACTAGCCTGATGAATTTCTTCAAGAATATGTAAAGGTTGCTGGCTCAGTTTCGTAGCTAGGATTTTTTTATGTAACACGACTGAGAAACTATCACATCTACAAATGAGTTTGTAGAAAGATTCAGTGCAGTTCATTTCCCTTTTACATCATTTTTACATGTATATGTTTTAACAACAAATGGATAGTTATTAATGGATATTTTACTGATACCAGGAACAATCTTCCAGTGTTTTCAGATGTTTTACAGCAACAAGGAAACTCTATGGGTATAGTGGATCAACTGATTAATTTTGAGTCCATTGTGAATGGAACAGCATAGATCACTAATCTGTTAATCTGGATTTGGATTAATTTTCAGATTTCAAATCCAACGAATCCTTTTTGAAAAAGGATCCACCAGATCAGAAAGGAACACAAAATCCATTTTTAGATCTTAAATCCATTTTCACATTCACCAAAAGGAACACACCCTATGAATCTGACTCCATCCTAACATTCCCCTGGTTCTTTTCAGGTAACAGCTCAAACCTTATATGGGCATTTGGGGTTTGCCTCAAACCTGGAATCTGGAAACCGCACCCCGAACGCCAAATGACTCTGAAGCAGACTTGCCAACCCCCAAAAGGCAAAAAATGTGAGATTCTAAACCTAGAGCTGGAAAAAGTAGTGAGAAATGGGTAAAGAGTTATTAGATGTCCCAAATTTCCAAGTGGAAGGACTTCCAGGGGGGATTATGGGTATTGGAAGTTACATATCAGGGTCCAAAATTAACTTTTCTTTATGGGCGCCAACTGGCGACTAAATAGACCCCACATATCACTTTAAAACTGGAGTGGTAATTAAATATCACAATCAATTTCACAATTTAGGTTTTTTAATTTCTATGTTTTGTTGGTGGCCATCTTGAAACATGAGAAACAGTAAGTCTGTGCATTTGGTGGCAGCGGCAAGTCGCGGTAGGCTAAAAGAATGTAATCAAGAGTGACCACTAAATGTTTTATTTGGATTGAGTTAGCTATCGATCAAAACGAACCCTACCACTCCAAAATTTTTTTGGAGTTTGACTTTTCGAGAAAGTGTGAGAAATCAGTTGCCAACTCCTGAGAGTGTGAGATAGGTCGTGAAAACCCCTGGGGGGGTACCCCCATACATTACCTATAAGGGTATGTGCCGCCCAACGGGGTCGTGATTTTGAAGCTCCTGATTTAGAACGGGGTACCCATTTCACAGGTGTTTTCTAGAACGGGGTATAATGTTTCAAATGCACGAAAGCACCAGTTTTGTAAGCAGCCATTTAAAATTATTCAAGGAAAGATTGCTTTTAAAAATACGGTTCAATGCGTTAACAAGCAAACTGTTGTACTCTTGTTGCACCCTGTGTTGTAGCGTGCAGGGTGGGTGTATTTTGGCCCGAGCCGCGAGCGCTGACTCCGCCATCTTGGATAAATAGGTGTGTGGAAGTTTGGAACGAGTCCATAATGTACCCGAGGGAGATGGAGACGGGCTCAAAAGAAAGAGACAGGGAAGGAGAAGGAAAATCGTTAGCTTACGAGGGTGGTTCTGTGCATGGTGAGAGATTTTGCGTCATAATTAACCGCATTGTATCCACATGCACAGGAAATGTACTCCAGATGATTATGAAGAAGCATTTATTTGATGTATAAGTCGAACAAATAAAGAAATATCCTTTTAAAAAAAAGAGGGCTATTTCAATTTACAAACTTTCTAGAACGGAGTATAAAAAATTGGCCTATTTCTAGAACAGGGTATCAGTTTTAGGGCGAATTCTAGAACGGGGTATAAAAAATTGGCCAAATTCTTTAGGGGAAATTTATTTTAGAATGGGGTGCCAATTTGGAGTTCCGGGCAGCACATACCCACCCAAAAAATACCCAAGTGCCCGCCGCGGGTGAAAACCTTAAGACCCACAACAAAGTTGTTAGACTTGGCAAGTCTGCCGAATGTTAGGAAACTGAGTGAATCAAGTTTCAGGTCTATTTTCACAGCATAATGACCCTACATGGAAACTGATACACGCAGTTTCCTGACCCTAATCACTATTCGGCGTTCGGCATGAGGTTTCCGGATACCGGGTTTTAAGTAAACCCGGGCATTTGCTTATAATGTTAAATAAAAATCTGATAATATTTCAACTGGCAAAATATTCGAAATGGTTCTAAGAACGTAAGCAAAGTTCTTATTATTCACATAAATTATCTTACCATTGAGGTATTTATGAGCAACATGATGCTGTGCATGAGACACCCCAACGTTGGCGTACGCATTTAAGACGTGAAAGTGAAGATGATCCATGTAAAAATACATGTAGACGAAGAACAACAGAACACCAACAACGACAGAAACCTGAATGAAAAGGACAAAATATGAAAATAATCACAAGCTACAGACTCTTTGTAAGCTACAAAGCTCGACTTTAATCGGCAAGAAGGATATCAAGCTTCTTATAATAGGGTTGGGGGGAAATTAGCAAAACAGAACCCCCGGGCCCGAACCCCTTTCTCATTTCCATGCAAAACAAAATTAAGGGGGATTCAACCGCGCACACTATGCATATTTTTCGATCAAACAGTGTACGAGGCCGACCAAATTAATGGGGCACAACTATTAAACGCTAGAAAATGGGAATACAGGTCATTCCTATGGCAAAGGCTAAATAATAAAATAACGCTGATTAACACAACAACTTCTGCCATAGGAAACATCGATCATTCGTACCTCGATTGCTGTGACCCACCAAGGATCGGGTTTTTTTCGTCTTGCTACATAAACTTTAGGCCCATAAGGAAGGTTTGGATCATAATCTGCGCCTCCAGGAGCCCAGGAAGGAATTTCCTTGTTCCTTTTTCGAACGTCCTCGTCCTTTCTCTCCGCCATTAGATCGACAACAGTATGCATGTTTGTGTGGGAAAAACGAAGTGCACCGAATATATCAAGCTCTTTGATTGGCTTACAGTTGAACTCAACCAATCAGAATACCTTTTATATCGTAGGAACAAAATAGACCTTTCTGGACTCGCCTGTAATGATGGCAGGTGTAATAGTTCCCGGCTCCGTGCAAACAGTACATTAAAATTCTCGATTAGTATATCAAAAATACCCGGCTATTTGAGATGAATTAACGAACCTAAGGTCAAAACAGAAAGGAATAGGGTATATATGTCTCTTTCAGAGTTTTTGAATGTTTTTGGAACTACTCAACAGTTTTCTGATCCTAGCTAGTTCCTTCCAATATATCATAACAAATACAGCGTCAAATCATGTGTTTTAATAATATATGAGTTTTAATTCACGATGCTTTGAATTTGAGAGCCTTGAATGCTGCATAGCTGTCAGAGAGACAAGATATTTCCAAGGAGTCGGGGTCCCTAATTCTTTTCGCTGTTTCCAGTCTTCGGCCGGCCGATAACAGTTAATACATGGCGGAATGTACCCTTATTCGAAATGTTTGTTTCTTGAAATAAGAAAACAAAGCTGGAAGCTGTCTAGAATAAACTTAGAAGCGATACATGCGGTATGTTTCCATTATTTGACTGATGAAGAAAATCCGCGTGCATGGGAAGTTTTGAACTGCTGTTTTACAAGTGACCAGAAAAAGACATGACATAGGGGGGTTAGGGTGCATGCTCCAGCTTGAAATTTTTTGGATTTCTAAGTCATTCAGCCAGCCATTGGCCAGTTCTATTCTCCATGGATTAAGCCTTGCAAATTGGCGGATTATTTCATCTCTCGATTTTAACTTGCAAAGTTTTTTTGTTGTTATTAAAAATATATTTGTTATGGCAAATCTGACTAGCCTGAATTTCATTAGCCTCCCACGCAGGGGTTTTTAGGGGAGCTCGTACTTCGTCGTATTTCGCTCGTACTTCGAGTCGTTTTCTCCTCTCAGCAACTGAGGCAGTAATAACGACTCGAAGTAATCGGATGAAATTCAGGTGAAAATCTGACCGATTTCCGTAAAACGGTGGAAACCGGTGTGGATTCGCGCCTGGTACCGGGTTTTTTTTTTTGTGCGGCGAGATGCTTTGGGCAGATGGGGTCAGTCGAAGCTACGGCAAACCTTACATGAACTGAGTGTCCGGGCATCCAGAAAAAAGTTTATTTGAGTTGGAAGTGATGTATATATTACCACACATTTTTATGTAATGACTGTAATGTGTTCTTTCCGCAGTAAAGAAGTGTTTATAACAGAACATGGTGATCAGTTGTGAGGGGGACCCCATTCAGTTTTGTTAAGCTTTAATCGTCCCGCGTAAGTTGTTGGTTAAGAAGGAAACGTCCCAGCCAGAAAGCTTTAATTGGAGCTTTCAGCTTTCAGTTGCATGCTATATGATCATAACAAGCTCAGAGAGATCTGCATGCCGTATCCGAGACACTGATGGGTACCGGCCGGCACCCCAGTACAGCCTTACTTACCCACTGTCAAAGACAGTGGATTTAAGACAAGCAAATCGGGGAGCGCCAATCACGACAAAGCCGCCGATATTCTCGAATCGTGCACCGGCCCTATCCCTATCATTTCTAACAAAACAACTGAGAATGCAATTTTTTTCCTCAGTTTTCTCGCTACAAGGAAACCTGCCTTTTTCCTTTCTCAGGCAATCCCTTACCCTTGTCGACGCCTGCTACGCAGGCTACCGAACTCCTAACTCTATAAACAATATATATTAATGCAAATGTATACTGCTCATAGTCGAGTCAGTCAATTTATAACTTGACATAATAGAGAAGCTTTGAGACGTCAGTGTTGAGATCTTCTCATAACTCAATCAGCGACTGATCTCTTACGATCAAACAAACAAACAATTCAAATTACTCGGCAGAAAACTATTTTCTTTTAGGTTGCTGGGGTCCGGATTCGCCCCTAAATATATCCTTCAGATCGAACTGAAATACCGAAGAGTCAAGTATGCCATAGCGCAACGTCCGGCCAGGAGAAACCACTGCGCGCCCCCTGCGCGCGTGGTTAGTCAGGGTAAATGAAACTTGCGTTGCACGTTGCTTTTTATCCAAAGAAATTGTCCACTTTTAATTAACGAAATCTGGTACTCGTTATTCTACTTCTTACCACTAGCCTGCGTAGCTGGCGGTATTGTGTGGGTGCGAGATTGAAGTTTTGGCGGCGGAGCTGTGTTCCAAAAAAAGGGAGTAGGGACGAGGCGGTTGTATAAAATCTCACTCGACTACTACACAATACCGCCAGCTACGCAGGCTACTTAGCACAATAGACGAACATGAGTTTTAAAGCTGGGTACTGCTTAATAATCTGAGAAGTCTGCCAAGTAGAAACTAATGTGTAACGGTTTAGAAGGATGGATGAGTTTTATGCCGAATGTTTACCACGACCACCACCACCACCCGTTGAAAAAGTTTCTGGATCTTCCTATCAAGAAGGTTTCACACAAACATGCTTGAGACTTTAATAGTTTACAGCATGTCCTTTTGTTAGAGAAACAATAAAGATTGATACTAAACTGGATAATTTGACATCTTTGAATTTAAAGGAATTCATATTTCTCATTTGAGGGAAATCACCGAGGAATATTGTAAGATCCCCGAATTTGTGTTCAATTTTACCTACACGCTCAACTGAAAACGAATATAATATGCATTCACTAGTAGGTCAAACATCAGCCAGCTGGCTAACTTGATTATCAAAAAAAGCCTTGATCTATCGATTGAATATTTTCCACACTAAATCTGTCAACTACTACAATGTATGAATCATTTTTCCTTCACCGAAGGCCGGAGAACAAAGCTAAGATGAAGTGCTATAACTGACTGATTTCTGCTTGGTGTACCTGTGTACAGGCGTTTCGTGCCAATTTTTACCCGCTTTATTACTCGTTCAAGTGAGTACTGGCCTGATCAAGCACTGCTTCAAACAATAATTAGACAGTTAAAAGAAAAACACACAATGAAAGACGAATTTATTCTTAAGTAACCTGATCGCAGGTTAATTTAATAAAGGATTCAAGAAGCGAACCAGTTTTTCCTGGCTCCTTTCGACTCCTTGGAATTCCGTTTATCTCTGACTGGCCTTCTACTGAAAACGGGAAAACACGACCGCAAGATTCAGAAAATTGCATAATTGTAGCAGGTTCCGTACTGATTCTCCATTACAAGAAGGAATTAGCTATTGTTACCGTTGTGTTTTTGTGTAGATACTGAAAGCATAGCCTCTAATAATTCCTTTTGATTGGCTATTCCAGATGCTTTTGATCCTTGACACAGAGTCATTTGACGATCCGGTAGATTTGGATCACAGTTTACCGGATGATAAACATGAATAAGTCCGGGATCGGCTGCTCTTAACACCTCATACTCTGTATGATTGATAAATTTTTGATATAAATCAACATCTTCCCATCCCCAGCCTTTGATGCTGGTATCGAAACCTCCAACAGCGTGCAAATCTTGACCATACATACAAGCAGGTCCGTACGAGTATGTCCTCCAAATTCCTCCACCTTCATTTATGTTGTAATACTTGTCAGGTTTGTTGTTACGAGTGTGCGATAACTTGGGATCAAACTGGCTGTACATTATTGGGTAAAAAACTTGTTTTCCAAGAGCTGTGTTCATTCGGCACCGGTCAATAAACTCTTTGCTGAATATCAAATCAACGTCACATAAGAACAACAAAGCTGTTTTTTCATATTGATCTGCTGCGAGCGTCATTGCTATCCCGCGGGAAAAGTTACCCGGGACATCGAGCCAAGTAAGTCCCGCCAAGGGATATTTATCTTGATATTCCTTTAATACGGCCTTGTGTTCGTCTGGGGAAGAAACGGACGACGAATATGCCACTAAAAGCTTTACTCTTAGTAACGGTTTGAGACAGACCTGCTCAAAGTTATTCATGAAGCGACGAAACGTTTCTAAGCGTCCTTCCAAAGGAACAAGGAAGTGTACATAAGGAGTCATGTCGTAACCGGGTTCAGCTCTATACAGCACGTTACCCAATGGCCGTTGGCTGTGAAACACTCTGTCATTGAGAGTAGAAATTGTCCTAGTTTTTTTAAGTTTATCATCACGGATTTTTCTCTGCGTTTTAACTGTAAGTTGCAAGACATACTGAACGCCGTAGATGGGGTGGACACGTCGGTAACCATATTTTATTTTATGAACATTTTTATTTCCAGCGTGGGAAGTCCTTCGGGACTCTTCTTTTAACTGGTCAGTTGTGCTTTCCAGTAAATGCGTTAATTCGATTTTTAATGCTCCACGAATGCCAGTCCCAGGGGATCGTAACTTAACATCAAAGTAGTACGAGTTAGCAGTAAACATGTCCCATTGTTCAGAGTAGTTTTTGGCCAGTTGATGATGAAAATCTTTAATGTTCTGAAGACTGTTTTTTTCCTGAGGAACGAACCTTTTTCCGTCTGCCTGTATCAGTCGATCCATATTCCTTAAAATCCTCTGAAGTTCAACGGCTTTATGTTGGAGATGTTCAATTTTTGAGTTCATAAAGTGTACATGTAAGCGGTGCATATATTCCGGTTGTTTGATAGGGTGAAGGGTGATGGCCTCCTTAATACTCCTCGTGTCCAATTTACCATGGAAAACCTTCCCTTTCTCTGTGTAGTGGTGAAAGAAAAGATTGCGCATCTGAAAAAGAGTTTGAAAAATATTATGACAAATCAAACCTGATGCGGGTCTAACTAATCAACTATGAGGCATTCATATCAAAAGATACAGACTTAGAGATGCTTAGTGTATAATTAAACAATTATTCAACGAAGTAGGAGCGAATATTTGAAACTGTATGCGTCTAAGACTTGGGTTAACAATATCGTCTACGAGAGACAGGTCGGCGCGCAACACTTCTTCGCGCGCTCGAAATACTGCTGGGAAGTAAGTAGTAAACGCTATATGAAATCAAGCCAATCAGATTGCGATAAATAAGAAGTTACAAGAATTCAGTTGTCCTCTTTTTGTTGCTAGGCTACTTCACTAGTTATAAAATGTATGAAGTATGACTATGATTTCTGATTGAAGACCAGCCTCAGCTTAGCATGAATTTGGCAATTTGTATAAGTCTATTCTGACTATTCTGAATAACAATTTCTCGTTAATTGTTTTTGCAAAGTTCCTATGCAATGATACAACGTTATGTAAGCTACAACTGAATGTAAGCATTGGCGAAACTTATTAAGTTTGTTAGAGTCGCCGGATCATTGAACTTACCTCGAGGGCCCAAGTGCAAGGAATTCCTGTGTAACGCTGTATGCAGCGTCCAACCTCAATGTCCTCATGTGATGTTGGTGCTGTTTCTAGACAGTACTCCAAATGTGGTGCCACCTTTTTCAAAACGCTTCTACTCAATATAACTCCAGGTCCACCAATACAGTAGTTATCACCTGGTTCCATACTCAACATTCCCATTTCTTCCTTCGCACCTGTGCCAGCGTGCCCTAGGTGAATATCATCCGAACTGTTTAATGACTGTAAGAAGCGAATTAACTTATCGTTTCGAACATAAACATCATCATCCGCTCGCATGAACCACTCATAGTCATCCACATGGAAATCGTGCATGTATTTAATCATCATCAAGGATTTTTTCAGCGGAGGATATGTATCATCGACGCCCGGTAATCTCACGACTGGCAGTCCGATCTCTTTTCCTGCGTCACCGCTAGAAAAAAAGGTCAATTTACCAGGAATATGTTTGCCCCAAGTATCATACACAGCCTTTGCTCGAGTTTTTACTAACTGCTCTGCTGTTATGACACCAACGAATAAGAAATTGCGGTTGCCAAGTTCTTGTCCTTGAGTCCTTGGTCGCGAGTTCCGTTTGTAAGTTAAATGGCATTGATTCTGGCGAACAAACAGCGTAACATGGAAACCACAAATTAATCCGAGAAATAGAAATATGACTTGACGAATGGCCATTGTGTTGACAGCAGGCATGGTTGGTGTCCGTTAGTGTAGGTCGTTTAAATCTAAATTTCGCGGAGATGTTTGTAAAACAGCTGTGGAACAACTTCGTAATTGATTATAAAACGGCAGGGTGGATAGAAATGCGTTAATCAATGGTTACAACTTACTAAAGCTGAAAGAAGTTAGAAAAGTATGCCCAAGTGAATATACAGCCACCAGCGATAAACAACGACCTTATCAGCATATGAAGTTTTAAACAGCTATATACTTTCTACTTATATTGCCGGTAAAGCTGTTCTGCATAAGGAATTTACAATAACTTCATTAGGCGTTTTTAAATTCCTTTTCATGCTACTTGGCTACAAACAAGGGAATCAGTATATTGTTTCTTGATGAATGTGACATCATAGCAATTCAATTGTACAAGGAACGCACTGAAGCGATAGAAAAAGATAAATTTGGCCCTTAAACGCCGACCAAACGTTTCTGTCAACGATCAACGTAGTCCAAGTATCTTTCCCTGAACACGGACAAAATGCTTTACCGGTAACGCCCTGAATCAGTGCGACTTTATACCACCTACCCCCTCATCTTGACAATAAGCAAAGATAAGGTTTTCTCTGACTTTTCCCTCGAGAACTAACCATGAACGTTCCACAACTGATCAGAAACAATCAATTTCGTCCTAAGTATTCGTGCTCATCACGTTTTCTTAATTGACAAAACGGACTTCGAACGCTTCATGGTTCATACCCCCAAAATGTCTAGAAACACGCGTGAGTTGATAATTAGTCATACTTTAAAAAATGCACTACTTGACTTTTTTCGAAGAAGTGTTTTTTAAGATTTTAAGACCAAAATAAAGGGTGTTACCTTTATGTAGATTCTCATCTCCTATTTTTTCCTTTTTTCTTTCTTTCTTTCTGAGGGTCAATTTTCTAATATTATATTGAGTTCTTTTTTAAGTGCAGATACAATTCTTTTTCTTTTAATGTATTGCTTCCTAATACTTAGGTATTAATTTTAATACTGTTTGTACATAGATGAATTTTAAATTGTATACACAGCAAAATTATTACTGGTTATTTTTATACTACATCGATGATTTTTGGAAAGGTAATTTTAAATTATTGCTTTTTCTTTCTTTTTTTTTATCGTTTTAACTTTCACGTAAATGTTTTAACGAGTTTTTATCACTCCTAGATGTAGCGTGGGTAAATAAAGTACTGTACTGTATTAGCTCTGTGAGCTACTCTAAAATTCGAGTGTAAAATAAAGCTTATATACGTATGTAGTGAGGAGAAAAAAGTGGTTTTTAAAGGAGGGAGCATTTTGTGCAAAATCCCTAGTTAGGATGACTTTCCCCAACGACTGGAGTGAGGCCCATTGCCCTATTGCTCGCGAGATAGCATGCAACATCTATTTTAGTTTTGATATTTTTAACTCGTGGATTCGCGACGGAGAGAAGCGAATTTTTGTGAGCATATCGATATTTCAAATATATCTGATATTTAGCAATTATTGAAAGAGGCTAAGTATGATGTGAATTATTGTCGGTAACCTCGTACCCAGATCTCTTGTTGAAAAAGCCAATCTGGCCAATCCAAAAAATTGAACAAGAGATCTGGGTACGAGATTAAGGAGGATATTATCCACCTCGGTCAAAGTGGCCATAGCCTCCGAAAATAAGAACTACCTTACATTCGCGTAGACTTTCTAATCTAGCCCTAGGCCCTAACCATTACCCTATAAGAACACATCAAAGAAAAAAACCGGATTAAGATCAAGGTTACAATTCACAATTGACAAAAAAAAAATAACCACAAGCTCTTTCCTCATAACAGTCCTGATCCTAATATTCTCTACCTACAGCATCCCGTCACGTTAGTTGGAACGTATGAAGAGCCTTAGTCGAATTTTTCGCGACACGGGAAGTTCAACACACCATTTGCATTCATAACTGCGATGAAATAAGAACTTTTATTTTACATCCAATTACCGGAATGCACACTCAAAGTAGAGCAGTTCTTCCTTGTTTCTTCTTTTATTGTGCTGTCGAATTTTTATTGCTATTCAATTCTAGCTCGTTTTCTAGCTATAGCGTCCTCGACAGCCTTGAGCTCGCGAAGAAGTTCCTCTCTCCTTGAAGAAGTATTTGCCGAATTTGCTTTACCAGACGTTACTGCTTCAGCTTGCGAATTCACCGACCGTTTGTCGGGTTTGTTAGTGGACTGGGAAGCGACAGACGATGAAACAATCTCCTTAGTATGTTCTGGGACTGGCGACGGGTCACGTGTTCGCTTTTTAGTTGTTGTCTGAAGTTTTTCACCGCTTGGGTCTGTCCTTGCGGGAAGTGAATGCTGGGATTGTGACTTGGGTGGTTCCCTGTTCTCTGTTCTTGTTACGGACTGTAATGAAAACAAACCGAATCCACATTACATGAAAGGTCACTTACAGCACTTTGTAATACACGATACAAGATATAAAAATTAATGTTGAAGTACCGTCTTTATTCGAATAAGCGCCCAATCTCGCATTAGCGCCCACCTCGAATAAGCACCCGTCCTAAAGGCAGAAAAAGTTAATAAGCGCCCAGCCTCGAATAATCGCCCACCCCCAACCCACTCCCTTCTATTCCCAGTCAAACTCAATAAAGCGCTCACTCACACCCCTCCCATTTCCCCTCCCACCCAAAAAAAATTGAGCAAGTACTAATGAGAGACTTCCCCGAAGACGGAGTTTCCTTCAGAGTATTTTTCTTTTGCAGTAAAATAATTAACCTCTTATTCAAAGGTTTGGCATATAACACGGGCGAACATTTTGCTCATTTCAAAAGTAGGTTGAGTTTGATCGTCCGGGTGAACGTAGTCCTGAATAGGACTGTTGTTGTTGACAGTGACAGACGTTTCCTGAACCCGTGCGGTAGTCATCTTCAGAGTCAAAGTGAGTTGTATCACGTCAGTTGATACAACTGACGTAATACCATCAACTGACGTGATACAACTCACCTTGACTCTGAAGATGACTACCGCACAGGTTGTCGAAACGTCAGTCACTGTCAACAACAACAGTCCTACTCGTGACTAAGTTCACCCGGACGATCAAACTCAGCCTCCTTTGAAATGACTCCTGGGTTCAAACCTTTCACAATTTCGATCATTGTTAACGTCATTCTCACAGACGGAATCAGGATGTTCAGTGAATACTCTTACCAAAAAATAGGGGCCAATTGCAAAATAACAATTTTTTTTAGTGGAATAATAAACCTCTTATTCGATGGTTTAGCATATAATACGAACGGACATTTTGCTCATTGCTCGTATTTTTCCTCGCCCCTGCAAGGCTCGGAAAAATACTACGCAACTCGCAAAATATCCGCACGTATTATATGCTAAACCATTGAATAAGGTGTATGCATTCAGCATACCTTATTTAGAGTGAGCTTTATATCTTTATGACCGGTATATCGAATGTTCCCACTTGATAGAGGCACGATCGGCGCTTGCTTGACCTGGTCGGCCTCAGGCCCCGCTCGGCGTGTTCTGACCGGGTGGCGCTCCTCCTCTGATTCACTTCCAGTTTCACTGCTTGCACTATCACTACCGCTGGATGAAACACTGGACTCGCGGTGCATTCCACCTCTTTCTCTTGTTGCACGGGGAGAACTGGGGCGAGCTAAAGCATGCTCCATACTGTCAGCACTAGAAGAACGTTCTCGCCTTTAAGAAAGAAAAATGGAAACTTCAACACAAACAACTGGGCTAAAACAAGATTGATTGAAAGCAAGTCCACTTACGTTCTTCCTTCTTCCGGTCGCCGTCGTTCTTCATTCTGAAGAAAAGAAGCAGATAATTTATTGTATACATTAAAGTTTAAAAAAACTAGGTAAAGTGCTTCCTTTGTAAAATAAAGGAGCTTTGCAATAAAAAAAACTTGTCTATAAACAAAGAAACAAACGATAAAATAAAGATGGTTACCCTGGACCGAGGTGACCGCGATCTTCTTCGCAACTCTGGACTTCTTTTCCTCCGAGAATTATGCGCACGATCTCTACTAGAAAATAAAGAAGTAGAGAAATGAAGAAAGTAGCAAATAGCATACAAAATAAGAACATTGATTTATTCTTTGCTAGAAGCTTTTATGAATCTCTATTCAATTACCAAAGGTAGTTATCCTTCCCGTGAAGATTAGCAATCGCCAGGCTTTTAAGTTTCATTCAGTTAATTAACTTAACGCACCCAGTAAACAAACTCTATATTAGAGTAAGTGTTTACAATCAAAAGTATACAGAACGATTTAAGGAAAAATCACGCAAGCTTAGTTTGCCCTGATTTTCTAATTATTGGTTTTCGTTCATGGTATTCATGATCTTTGCAATAAATAAAAATGAATATACTTGATTTAGCTTCAGAAGTACCGCGGGGCAAGCTAATCACTCCTTGTGCATGCAAAGAATAAAATTGTTGAAGTTGTTGTTGCGCCGCCAAGGCTTATGGGCCGTGTTACAAGCAAGGACTACATAACGGATTAACTGAATCCAGCCAGCGACGATAAAGCAACACTAACTAATTAGTTTATTTTTAAACCAACTGTGGACCTAAATGTTTGAAGAGGATATAAGACCTCAGCTCACTTGGAATTGAATATAAAGCAAGTAATACCCCACCTGTAAGAACCATCCACTGGTCTCCTTGAGGTCCTTTCCACTCGCCGATCCCACGGTGATCCCTGACGCACCATCCCTTCCTGCCATTTTTGTATTTTTTCTGCTCGACTATACTCATAACGATTTTTCCCACCGTCTTTAGCATTGCGGTAGGATGATGATGATGATTCCACTGGTGGGGTACGGGGTGGGCTCCGGGGGGGTCCTTTGTCAGGGGAGGTTTTAGGTTTAGCAGGGCTTTTTCGCGCTGCTGGTGTAGGTGATTTGGATTTAGATTCTGATTTCTCTGATTCTGATTCTGATTCTGATGAATCGTGTGAAGCTTGTTGTGCATCTTTCTCTTCACCTCCTTCATCTGCTGCTGCAGCCTTTACTTCTTTACTGCTACCTGAGGAACTTGAATGATCGCTTGCTGATGCAACTGAGCCGGATCGTGAACGCGAGTGTGATCGCGAACCTGAGCGCGATCGCGAAGATGACCTTGAGGGTGATTCTGAAACTGAGCGTGACCGTGAACGTGAAGTAGATCGTGATGTGGAACGTGACTCTGATCCGGAGCGTGAGCGGGACCGCGAGGAGCGCGAGGAATCCGATGAAGATGATGAAGAGTGGCTACGGGAGCTGCGCGATGATGCTGAGTGTCGCTTTGGCGAGGTTACTCTCTGCCATGGATCAATCCACTCATCGTTAGGAAGGCGAGAGCTTGAGATTCCAAGTGCTTTTGCCCTGGGTTTTTCTCTTTCATCACCTTCAAGTAATTCATCTTTCTTTCCTGCCTCCCTTTCGGATTTTAATTCAAAGTCCGCAATTTTTTCCTGAGGCAGCCTTTTCTTCTTTTCATCATCAATTTTTTTATCTTCAGATTTTATTTCTTGTTTCTCGGCTAAACTCGCTTGTTCTTTTACATCAGTGGGTTTCTCTTGTATGACTGCAGTCTCGCTTTTACCTTCCTCCGCGACCGGTTTTTCTTTCCCGCCGTCTGACTCTTTTTCCTTCTGCTTTTTAACTTTCTCCTCGTGTTTCTTTTCCGTCTCCTTCGCCGTTGTTTTTGTTCGTTGCTTATCTCGTTCTCGCAAAGTTTCCTTGACTTTCCCTTTATGTTTTTCCTTCTCTCCACCTCTTCTTCTATTTCGTCTGTCCCTGAGAAGACCGAAAATTAAGTCACCTCAACATCTTGCTTACGTAGCGCGTTGATAGAAAACAGTACATAAACATCTAACGTTTTAACAATCAGAACTCCAAATCTCAAGCCCATAGATCTGGCTAACCATCATTTAAGTCGATAAAGTTTAACAGAGTTAACCTCTCACAAATGACTGGCGGAAAAACGTGGATATAAAACAATAAATTCGAGTACCTTTCAGGAGATGATGACGGTGAACGATTTCCTCTTCGTTTTCTCCTGTCGCGTTCCTTAAGAGGAAAAAGGCGAAAGATTTTTAAAATATTTCGAAACTCTGAAGAAACGAATCAAACGGCACGTAGAAATTCTGCCAAAAGGTAAAAACTGAGAGAAATTGTACAACAAGTAGAATTTACTGTGTTAATATTAATAATAATAACAATTAATAATAGTCCTAAATAACAGAGTGTCCGTATTAAGCAGGTTGAATTTGGAGAAAATGTGATGGCTTTCTTTCCCTGGCATTGACCGTATTGTTTTGTAACTAACCCGGTCGGGAGATGGTTGCTTTTTGTCTCTCCATCTTGTTACTATGTCTCCTCCACCTCTGCTGCGATGCCTCATGTCACCTTCATCAAACACCGACTCCTTCTCCAGCCTGGTGGCTCGCACCATCTCACGCCGCCGAATTAAGTTTTCTTTATCATTTTCATCATCATTTTCATCTGCTGTAATACCTAACACCATGCGCTTCTCCTGAAAGTCAGCATCTTCTTCTTTTCGCTTCTGGGCAGCTTTCTTTATCTGTGTTTACAAACAATTACGATTGTCAACAATTATTATTATTCCACTTAGCTTTACAATACTCACTAGGCAAACAAATAACAAAAATTTTGTTACGAAGACACGATAGTAGGAAAAGAGAAGTCATTAAAACATGTCATAAATAATAACACATGCTTCTGATAATAATAATAATAATAATAATAATAATAATATTATTATTATTATTATTATGCATAAAACACATTACATTGAACTGATGCAGACAGATAGAAAGTTCTTGTTGATTGAAACTTACTCAGACAAATTTTACTGAGACAAATGCCACTTGTATGAGTTATAACTTGAACTTAACTCTGACAATTTTTTGTCACATGAAAAGTTTTACTTCGAGTTTTTGGCTGTTATTGTGTGACCTCTGTATCTACCTTCATAATACAAAGTAAAGGCTACACAGCAATACAACCAGTAGTCTGAACCTTGTTGACAGGAAGGCAATTTGTGCCCAAAAACCCATCAAATTGCAGATTTTTTCAACCAGAGGCAAAGTTTTATCATCGCTGCAACTCACTAAATGTTTAAAGCAAAATATCCCCACGCATGTTGAAGAAAATGGGCGTTTTGAGACCATGACTAAAATACCTTCTTCTGCCAGACACTGTGATTTTGAAAGTGGATACAGGGCGTTGGTCTGAGGTCATTACTTTGTATTATGAAGGGAGTGAAAGGGATCACTCAATAACAGCCAAAAAAGACTAAATTGATGAATTCACACCAAAAAAGGCAGGAATACATCAAAAGTAAGTCTCCTTTATATATTTTATAAAAGAAAAGGTACAATATAATGATATTTAGCGTTTGCAGACCTCAGTATTTTATTTCTTATACAACATCTCAATAGTCGCCTGTAATGCAACTTCCACTCATAAAGTGAGCTTCGGACGTTTGTGCGTCAACTGATGATTTTAATCAACTTACTTCCTTGGCTAGTTTCAGTCCCCTCTCCCATGCTGTTTCTTTCTTGGGTGGAGCTGCTACTTCTGGAATCAAGTGCATTCGATCGGAAAATTCATCTTCCTGAAATCATGCAAGCACTTCACTAAAACATTTGCAATGGCAAACTAATAAACGATGTAAATTTTTAAGGCCCTGCATACAATTGTTTGGTCCATGTACAATTTAGTTTGCTGCTAAATTACACATAACATTTGCTCCAATAGTACAAAGGACGAAACAGTTAACTGTGGCTACTCTCAAGAGCCATGTCTTGAACCTGTTCAACAAGTCTACTGCCTGTTTTGTTAGTGTTTATGTTACTAACTTTAAGTTAACCAATCATCACATGTTTATACTGACCATCTGTCCATCATCTTGGCCTGGTAAAGATGTCATCCCATGAGCTTGTACCATGGTTTCAGGATGAACAGCTGGGCCAGCTGTTGGAGCTTTAGGAAAAGGGCTTGGGTACTGGCCAGGAATAGGCAGCATTTGATAGGCACCTGTCAATCAAAGAATGCCAATGCAAGGGGTGGGAAAGGAATAAAATAAGTAATGTGTGAAAGAAGGAACAAAAGAAAGAGAAAACAGCTGCCACCTTTTACAGAATTTTAAATACTGCAATAAATTGGTTTGGCTTTCATAAGAACTGGACAGGACTGTCACTCAATACTGAGCATTTTAGACTACAATAAATAAACTTTACCTTTGTCATTCAGGCCTGGATGAAGGAATCTGCAAGACATTCCCCAGGTACAGCCACCTGGTGAGAAAAAGAAGGAAAAAACGCAAATGAATGATTTTTTGCAAAAACCTAAACAAGAAAAAAAGAGTACAGCAAAGGAACTAAGTACAATCAATTATGACTCAGTGAACACGTTGCACTAAAACAACACTAATACAGGGCTCGAAAAAACGGCCAGTCAAAGGTCTGATTGAAGAGTTGCTTGGTCAACCTTTCGTCTTGCCAGTCATGTTGACCAGGCACATTCAATCATATTGAAAATGAAATAAATTAAAATTTCCATGCTGTTCAGTTGTCTCAGTTGTTATCAGTATGTAACGAGTCGCTGTGTATTACAGAACTTTCATCTGAAATCCTGGATGAAATGCAACTAGAGCCACTGTTTACAATTTGCGCATTGAAACAGACATTGGGGTTCATGCACTTCCAGTCACAAAATTAAAATATTTCAACTTTTAGTTGCTAATTTTCTCAAAGAAAACCAATTTTCTTCCGTTGTAATGGGGAGTAACATTGATTACTGCTGGAGTTTTAGGATCAAGATCTCAGATCGTGATACATACGACAGAAATCATTATATTTGGAGGCACCAGACAAATTTAATGTACACGATAATAATATTTAACATGTTACAGGTTAGTCTTACAGACCGTGTACCTATTAATACACGTAAGTTTATTCTCGTTTCACTGCTGTAATTTATTTTATTGCTGACAATGAGTGCTTTAAAGTGCTATAAGTTCTAAGCAATGACTTTCTTGGAAACATATGATGCCAGTTTTGGTTCATGGGCCCCTGTTTTAAGAGCTATTTATCTTATAAATTTGACCGGCCAGAAACAATATGTGATCCAGCTAAAATGAATTTGCCTGGCCATCATGTCTGGACACTCCCCAGAAATTATCTTCAGCCCTGTAATTATTATTGTTGGTGTCAGTTTTAATATTATTGAGTTTCTTCAAAAAAAGTTACTCAGCACTGGATAATCTTACTTACCATGTGTAAAATATCTGCAGACCTTTCTTCTTAGAGACTGGCTCCCTGTAATTTTAATAATTCACCAAGCAATTAAGTTAAATACTGACCAACTGCTCATACTTAACCCTGGTGAGGGTGGTTTTACCATATCAGTGTATAAAATATATTACGAAAGGATAAGGGAGACTATACAGAGGATCTAACTTAACCAAAGCACAAAATTATTGAAAAGAACAATTTCTATCATGCTGACATAATTTTACAAAAGGAGTCAATGATTTCAATTAATTTTATTGAGAAACACAATATTGTGTCCTCTGAAGCATCAACAAACTGTGCATTTATGCATGTGACGTAAGAAAATAAAAAGAAAGAATGTGAATTTTGACCTGGGTAAATGAATGAGAAAGACATGATAATGAGCATGACACAAGTGTGGGAGAAACAAAAGTGATTATTTCATATTCCACATTTCACGTAGTCCTAACTTTTGAGTCTGAATGAAATGCTGTTATGTGACCAACCAATCGTTGCTTCCGGTCATTGCACTGGCCAGAATTTGATTCCTGGTCAAGCCTGAATTTTTTCTGGTTCTTTTTTAGCAACTTAGGTTGTTCATTCTACTGCGAAGATCATGTTCAACTTCATATAAATGCAAACTCTTGGATGATATTTTGTAACAAAATGAAATTTGGGATTGTCTTGACTCTTCATGATGAAGTAGTGGGGCCTTCATACCTGGCGAGTCTCCTTCTTCAATAACTTCACCTTCTTCTGGGCCATCAGTCTAACAACAAACATATTTAGAAATCAGCTACTACCGTAACTGATAAGTAACAGAGTTGTCTCTAAGAGGAAGTAATAAGGCATTCGTCCCACAAATTCTGCATAATTGTTATGTGACTAATTTTCAAACTTAAAGTAGCTGGCTGATTCTACAGATAGTCCTGTCTGCTAACAAAGCTATATGCAGTTAAACAGAGGCGTCAAGTAACTGACGGTTTAACCGAATCAGAGGAAAATGAAGGAGTGGTTGCTCTCAAAGCAACAAAATATATGCTGTTACCTCTGTCACTGTTAAATCTTGGTTTTCCTGAGATTTCTTTTCTGATGCTGTACCCTAGACAGAATAACAAAATTTATCCCATATGTATATATTTTATCAACAATTATTTATAATAAAACTAAGACTAGAAGAGTATGTAGTGCACACCACACTGGTTGTTAAGCCAGATTTTCATAGGATTGCTATCATTGGTGGAAAACATCCAGCAGTCTGAAGGATTGTAACAAATGTGGTAAATATTAATATTACTATTATATTGTCACAATCAAAACATTTTTTGAAAGGCTTTTTCCTGATAACCCCTGCAATCACTGAACTTTTTTATTGACCCTAGGATGGCCAGACTTGACAAAACTGTCATACCAATAATTTTTCAATGAGTATCTTTTGTCCTTAATAAGTATGAGACACTGGTCAGTATTCTGTGACAGATGAGAGAGACTAAAAATCATTAGAAAAAACAGGGCTGTACTCGAGCAGGGCCCAGTGGTCCCTGACCTTTAACATTTGCTCTTAGGCAACAAAGAAATCTTAGCTTTTTGACAGAAATCCTACACTTGGCACCCTTCACAGGTCCAGAGCACCGGGCTCCATTCCATTTTCTTAGAGCACAGCCTTGTAAAGTAGCAAGCAGAGACATGAGTCAAAGCCACTTACTTTCCTGAATGTTTACACCGATTCTGTTTCAAATCTGCTACAGTTCCTATAACACTAAAACAAATCATTTGAACTGAATTTCTGTTAGGTGCTCTACCTCAAGCTTGTACACCCAAGAGACTTATTAACATTATTTTCTTTCAGCAATTATGAAATTAAGCCACTCCTTCTACCTTATCATCCTCGTCTGAAAGAATTTCTCCCTCTTCGCCTTCCTCCTCCTCATCATCTTCTTCTAGCTCCCCTTCCTCTTTATCTCCATCTGTATCATTTTTCACCCCATTTCTCTCGTCATGTGTTCCAGGGATTTCTCCTTCATCCTCTTCATAATCAAGTTCACCCTCTTCCTCCTCCTCAAACATTTCAGACTTGTTCTTGACACTTGTCGTTAAGTGATTACTAACCCTGTTGCCACTTTCAAGAGCCATGTTTTGAACCTGCTCAACAAGTTTACTGTCCTTTTTTTCAGTGTTTATGTTGCTTACTTCTCCTAACAAATTTATATGTTTTTCTCCTATGGAGCTTGATGATGACACACTTGCTTGTGAAGTGTCCCTTTTTACTGGGGAATTGCTTCGTCTGGAATCCATTGGACCTATAAAAAAAATACCAAATGACTTTATTTACAAACCGAAGGTGCCTTACAGTTGATTCCATTAAGTTTGATTGCTATAATTTCACCACAGTAATAATCTACTGTAGGTTTGAGTGAGCCACTGCAACAACTGAACTTTTCTTATAAGATTAAATTTCTTATGGTATAACTACAATTATTTTCAATCAGAATGTGTAGCTTACGACCAGGATGATTTTTCTATGAATGCCTTGTAAAACTGCTGAGATGAACACTTGTTGATGTATATATGCACACATTGACTACAGCAATCTGTCATTCGATTACATTACATTTTCATCATTTATTTAAGACTGACTTAACATTAATAACAACAGCAAAGGGCCCTGGAAATTAAACAGACAGATGCATAATATTAAAAAAACAAACAAACAAATCATTTATCTTAAATGAACCTCCCCAATGATTGCGAAAAAAAAAAATCAGAAAAGGGATATGAAATCTCTGTCCGATCCGACATCACACAAGCTAGTCATCAGGTTGATGGTTTAATAAGGAATAATTACACTCGTAATCATACCACAGCTTACCAAAGTTGACCCAGGAAAGTGTTAAGGTGGAACTTGCTCGTCAAAACATACTTTAACTTGCAGCTAGAGCACTGAAAACGACAGGGAAAATGAATTTCTTCAAGGTAGTCAAGTATCTTCTTCAACCATTTTACTTCCAAGACAAGTATGGCGGACGAAGCAAAAATAATTAAAACTCTGCTCTTTCATTGGCTGAAACAGCGTCACGTGGCGGTTCTGTCCCGTGTCAGCGGATGTCAACACCACGTGCAGGAAAGGAATCAATCCTGTGAAGCAAACGAAGAAGCAGGAAGATGTTGAGGATTTTAGCAGCCGAATGCGTTGTTTATAAGGCCTTTAATCAAAGAATTCTGTACAGTGCTCAAAGAATAAGTCACCGTAGCATTTTTAAAGCCTCCCAAGATATTTTATTTCAAAATTCACCTTTATTATGGCCACTAAACTTTGGTAACCGCTGCACTTATCATACGGAAATGTCTGACCACTCAAAACGTTGGAAAACTGTATATGAAGGACCTATTGCCAAATCTGTAAAGTTTGTTAAGATGCTGTCTTTAACCACAGCCGCGACGATGTTTATAGTTGCTCCTCTAACGATTTTCTTTGGCAAGCAAGCGGCTCCGTTGCCTTTGAAGGTGTGCTTGGTCATATTTCTCTGTTCGCTTGGAAGTGGTTCAACAGCGCTCCTTCATTGGGTCAGCAAACCGTACGTGCGTAAAATGGAGTTCAATCCACAAGAAAAACGCTTTGCTGTAGAGACGTTGTCTTTATTTGCTGCGCGGAAAAGAGCTGAGTTCTCTGTGGATGACATAACTGTTTACCCTGACAACCGTGCGTTTTCTACCTTTGAAGCTCATGGAGTAAAATATTTTATTCACACGGAGCTCGTAGAAGCTCAACAAATTTTGCACTTCATTGAAGAGTGGAAGGCAGGGTACAAAACATCCCTGGAGTCTAATTTTCAGAAACCATAAGCTGGAACTTATGGAGGGAGAGGTCAGGCAGTGCCTGCAACCCATTTTACTGTGCCTAAGGGTGGAGGGATGTGACTAAGGTTGTTTACCATTTACCACAAATTCCCGGAAATTCCTGTTGGGATGTAAATAGTAAATGTTTTCTTGGTTCGTCCCACTGGAAAATTCCCGGGACAAATGAAAATTCTGAAAAGGTGGTCCCGTTTTCCCTGTTGGGACTTTCTGAATGGAAATTTGTTTACCATTCACAAGTTTCTTGAGTTTCATACTTTACTGTAAAATTCGGAAAATAAGCCCCTCCAAGTATAAGCCCCTCCAAATAGGGGGAAAATCTCTATTCCTCATAAGCTCGGCTTCTCAGAGATTTCCCCGCCACAGTGTGTGGCAAAATAATAAAATAAAATAAAATAAATATAAGCCCTCCAAACTCGTAATGCAAAAAACCCTCTGTTAAATTGCCCTTCCAAATTTAAGCTCCCCAGGGGCTTGTACTTGGAAATTGCCCTCAAATGCAAAGTAAAACAAAGCAAAAACGGTAAATTTTCTTCCAACTATAAGGCTAGACCAATCGATTTTGAAAATACAAATTTCCCTCCATAGATAGGCCCCTCCAAAACTAAGCCCCTCAAAAATGGCCTTTGGAAAATATAAGCCCCGGGGCTTATTTTCAGAATTTTACGGTGTCTTTCATAATAGTTTTATGTTGTAACAAGAATCTAGTCTAGCATGGCGTGACAATCCGGAAATTTTAGGAAATGGCAAATGCCACATACCGTTCTTACCAAACAAAAATTCCCAACCAAAATTTCCGGAATTTTTTTATAAATGGTAAAGAACCTAAATAGACCTTTTCACAGTTTGTGACACCATCTTAGCTGGGGGGCAAACACAGGTAAAAGGTATTTTAAAAGACATTTGTACTGAGATTATTTTCATGAACTATAAAGAAGAGATTCAGGTTATGACGACCATCAACAAATTTTTTAAGATTTCATACAAATCCTTCTAATCAACATTATGCAAATTATCATTAAATTAGAAGCCACATGGGAAGATTTATAATTCAAATTTACGGATGTCATACCTTCTTTAATAGCCTTATTTTCTGTTGAATGAATGTTATCAATAAAGCTATTCAAAGTAGTGTCAAGTGTTGGAAATCAACCTTTTTGCAGCGGCGTTATGGTGGTTCCAAGTGGGCCAAAATCCCATACATTCACTGTTAATTTTAGCTGTGTTTGCCTCTCAGCCAAGACAGCGTCAAAAACTGTGAAAAGGTCTTTTTCAGTTGAACCTCTATTTAGTGGCAACCCTGGCCTAACTAAGTTTATCAAGCACCTGATGCCCATAGAGGTGACAACAATAGAAGAACTCTTGTCAGGATGGTAAAAGTGTCAGTGGCTGCATGATCACTGGCTACTTAATAGGTGGTAGTGTAATGGAGGTTCAACTGTACTGATCACCCTACATGATGTGCGTAGGTCATTTGTCTTCATGTTAACAGAATGTAGCCCCAGTTCACTTTGTCACCTCTACCTGTTTTTATTGGATTTTGAATACAAGGGTACTTTGTTTTAGTAGCTTGCAGTATTTCAATAAAAAAAACAATGTTTACAAACATGACATCACTGTATATAATAATGGCATGTATAAGGAAGGGTTACATAGAGCATCAATAAGGAATGTATTACCAATGATTTACATTTGTTAACAAAAGCCTGTAAATATTTTTAAATATCTCCCCATCGGTAATCTTTTGGCAGTCCCTTGTTGGGCCATTCTG